AATACATTTTGTCCAAATGACATAGGCTATATTTTATCCCGATAAAATAAATTTCGCCCGTACAATGCCCGGGTGGATCACTAGTAAGTATAATATAATATTATACGAAAGTGAGTTTGTTTGTTGCGCTTCCGTGCCCTAATAGCTTAATCGATTATAATGAATTCCCCTATAGAAGTAGATGGGAACCTGGTTCTTAGCTACAACATCGCAATACTTATAGGCGTAGGGTGATGAAAGGGGTGATTTACCTATAAAAATCTATATTATTTACTTTGAATTTTGCAGAATCATCGTTTATAATTACCAAACCAATATTATCGAGAGCTGATTAATAAATACAAGGATTCTAATAAGTATGTACCTACTAGCGAAAAGTGGGTTATTTGTCATTACATTAAGTAAACCTTTTTAGTAACATTAAGTAATATCGTTAAAAAAAAATTAAAGACAGTATAATTCTGAGGTTTTTATTAATATTGAATAATCATAAATACCTATTATGATAATTTATTTTTCATCATTTAATAGGAAGGAACTGTATCAGAATTTTATTGTCAGTACTTCGTATAGCCCATTTTTTTCCTTTTCGCCTAGGTTTTATCCACGTTTATAAACACCTTAATTAAATTTCTTCTCGTAGTATTTCTGCAGAGTACACCGCGCCACGGTAATAATATAATATTACCGTGACCGCGCTATCACTTTGTCATCGTTGTAATTTTTTAAATATTTGTCGAAATGACATAGTATAAAAGGCAAAGTTTAACGTCTTTCAATTTCAAAAGCGAAAAAATTTATTTATTTTAATACAAAACTATTTTTTTAATCCAAAATGTGCATTTTGGAAGTGGATATCAAATAATATTTTATTTTTGATTCACTGTTTTAGCGATAATGGCTTACACATTAAAAATAGATATATTCTGTCGCAGACTTTTTTGTAGAACTATTTAAGAGATACATTTTCACGATAAATTATATTCATGTAACTTTTACTGTTTTTGCAGTGCAGGGAAATGGCTCGCAGATGGGAGGTTTTTTCTGCCTTACGTGACACTTATTGTAATATATTGGCCTATTCACTCAAAAGCTACAAAAATTATAATCTATCTGTTATTATTATGTATATGTTATTATTGTTGTTAAGTTGCAATAAAATCCATTCAGTATTTTTTGGGTACAAGAGTAACAAAGATCCACTATACAAACGTAAGATTGAAATTCAAAGCGTAAGTCCCTAATATGCAACTTTAAATCGTTGTAGATCCTAAACAATCAAATAAACTGAAAAATGGTGTTAAAAACCTAAACATGATTTTCGATTATCTAGACAGTGATACCCCACTCGACATATTTTGTCAATTTATTTTTTTTACTTCGTCACAATATGGCGCCTAATTTTCCCCATATTGAATTTTGATTACTATCATATCTTTAATAGCACTCCCATGATTGAGACGAATCGATTGATGTATGAATCATCAAAATCGGTCCAGGCGTTTGTTCTCTAGTGAGCCACAAAGGAACAAACATATATATATAGACTGTTAAACACTATACCCTCTCTGCGCGACGCGCTTCGCGCTCTTACATTGCGCAGTCGGGTAAAAACACTATACCCTCTCTGCGCGACGCGCTTCGCGCTCTTGCATTGCGCAGTCGGGTAAAAAGTAGGTAATAGGTTTATTTTTTGATTATATTTGTAAAAGTTACTTAGCATTTGTGCTTAACAGTGATACTAATGTATCGGTATATATTCGGTATTTTTTTATACAAAAAAAAATATTTGGAAAGTAATCGCCATGATTGCACTATTTGCAATACCTACTAGGCTGGTTGCAGCACGCTTGATAGGTGTGAGTACTCTTCATTCGAGCTTTACACTACCAATAAAAAAAAGGATCGATCACAAAGTCTTTGACCTGTTATATGTCAACGCTTTAAAAGAAAACTACAAAGAGAACTATAAATTGATAATAAATGAGATTGCTATGGTGCTCTACCTAACGTTATGAAAATTTTATTATGCGCCTTTAGTTTAATCAAATATTATAAACTTTGCTTTGGTGTTTGCATAATTATTTAATTTAGCGATCTAAGGCAGTTGCCACCATTGTCCAAAACAACAGACGGGAATTACTGCTTTCTTCAACCTGTGACATAAACGTCATTGATTGGTATTGTATATAGGGTAATTAACAACATTTGAAGTTAATTTCTGGCATCTTCATATTGGGTTTCTGTGAATTATGTAGGTATATCAAATTATGAGACTAGAATATGACACTGCATTTGTGTATATCACAATCTTAGAGCCGGACGTTGACATGACAATGCAGCCACTGCCAATTTTAAATAGTCGACGAATAAAAGTAAATGAATTTTATATTTACTGCTAAACTACTAAAAAGAACATAAACAAAAGATTTTTGAATAAGTGCTAGTTTACTATAAAATTTGCATACATTAGATATTTATGTAACGACTCGATTTAACTTCACACAATTTTGCGAAAATTGAGGCCCATCTATAGCCTTGACCCTGGTAAAGTCTCTATATGTCTTAATTAATCGATCTTTTAGACCACCGCAAAGTACTTAATAATTCCCGCGATATTAATTCCCTTACTGAAGTAACAAGACTACGGTATATACCGTCTTAAAATACTAACTAACTAAAAAGTGTGAAATAAAAATGGTAAATTTAAAAAATCAAAAAACCCGACTGCTTTATTATACTTCAAATAAAAACTGAAAAGAAAAAAACAAGTCCAGTAGTCTATAATTCTGTTAATAAGGAATAAAGCTACTTTGACAGTCGGGACCCATTATTGAAAAATATTATGTAATCTTGAATATCTAATGGGTCGGATGGTACGGATTCTTAAAGTCCACATTACTATGAATCTAGTGATACCAAAAAACACACTTTGTTCAGTTTCTTTTGACACCCAAAAGTAAATTTAACTTAATTTCTTACCTGTCATTTATTTATTTAAACTTTATTGCCACAATTACAAAATGGACAAAAGGCGGACTTAACGCTAAAAGCATTCTCTGCCAGTCAACCTTCAGGAGTACAGAAAGTCACGAATGCGGCTTTAGTAAAAAAATAATTAATAATATAAACATACCATAATATATATCATTCATATGATAGCATAATTTAGTAAGTTTATTTATTTATTTATTTATTTATTAAGGACAGCCAACAAAACAAACACCAAATAAAAATACAAACTCAGAAAGAAATAAAGAAAACAATTCTTAGTGCTGCCTTACTTAAAGGCTGCCACTGCATGCGTAAAAAAAATTACTTACTAGTAGACATACGATAAACAAAATAAGGGAATCTAGTACAAACACTTCAAAACCACAAAACTAAATATTAGGTACATATTCATATCCATTCTGACATCATTCTCTAGACCCAAAAACAGATCCAACACCAGTACCTCACTTGAACTCTGTATTGAGAATGACAAGGATACACTGCCGTCTAATCCAAGTCTAGGCCTAGAGAACGCTGCCAGAATCGACGCCGTTGTGGTAGTATCCTAAACAATAATATGATTAGATCTATGTGGGTACAAAGGAGTCTAAAAGAGCAGACCTAAATTTGCGAAGAGAAGAAGACATGTTTATATCACTGTGTTTGGATGAAGCGGCTAGCGTACGTGATAGTGTGTTATATTGTGACTGAAGTCAATTAATGGTACAAAAATGACCAAGGTTAGTTCTGGAAGCCTCTGCTCGGAAAGGTGCATAACTAGAAGATCGAGCAGATTTATATGGGATATTAAAGTTAATCTGCGCTAACAAGTGTGAGCAATCTAAGTGACCGTATAGTAATTTAAAAAAGAAAATGTGATCATGCATTTTACGTCGATTTTCGAGACCGTTAAGCTTAAAGTGAATCAGACGCGATCTGTATGTGGGTAGTTGTTTTAACAGGACACCAAAATATTAAGATCAGGGCGTTTGTTCATCCTAAATGGGCATTCTCCTATCGCTGAATGTGTTCGAGCAAAATCACAAAGAAAGTTTTCACGTACCGCATTGACTGATTGCACAATATTTTCCTATTTTTTAGATAAAAATAATGTAGACCCTTCCAAAAACGTTAGAGAAAATCCAAATCAAACTCAAAAATTTTACAACCATTTCGATCAAATGCGTCAGTGTCTTATTTGCTTATGTATCTAGTATTTTAAGTGCCGTGTATTAAAATGTCGCACTCGTTCGTCATTCATTTGTCTAAGTGCTTTTTCACACGAAGCGGCTACCGAGCACCCATACGAGTGGCACAGTGTATGCTTTCACATGTAGCGGTTTAAAATTGCCTTAACGTCGCCGTCGATACAATTACAACCAGCTACCCGACGCCCTGGTAGCCTAGTAGCCACAATGTGTAAAGGGGCACTAGTTTAACTTTTAGCTAATACAAGAAACAAACACCCAGCTAAACCCCATCTAATACTATTTGCATTATTTTGTGCACGAACTTTGCAATACTAACAATGCGTTATGTTGATAAATGAAACTGTGTTATTTTATAAGTCTCGATTTTGTAGGCAGTGAGTACTCAATTGATTGTTGCTGTTACCATTATTAAAAAGAGCATATTGTTTTCAGTTAATAACGGGCAACGTCAACACCTACACAGCCGTAAAGACAGTATTGGAAGCGCCATTCATCGCTTCAAAAGTTCGATTCTTTCCATACGCCGCGCACCCAAGGACTGCCTGTATGAGGGTCGAGCTGTACGGCTGCCGGTGGAAACGTATGTATAAAAGATCCAACGCTGGCGCAGTCCCGGGACTAGTCCACCCAATGATTCCCTTTATTGCTATGCTGTTTTGCTTGAGCGAATTTTATTTCTGAAACTATTTTCAATTGTATGCGCTGAGCGAACGCCGCCGCTGCTGGCGTTGTATTTATGTCACCGATTTTTCTACAGAAGCTTTAGTGGCGTATTCTGCTCCACGGGGTGGAGACATGCAGTCTATGACTGGCGGGGCCAAATTCGAAGACTTAGCGTACGATGGTGTTATGCGAGATGGAACACTCTATGACGGTTTGGGTCAGATGACTGATTCATTTACCGGACCTAATGATTTTGAACTACCAGATCCTTCTGATACACGAGGTGATAAAGCAAAGACAATTTCGTAACAACACTTAAATTTTAATCCTCTACCACATTACAATTATTGAAATTATTTCTAGGAACTCGTTGGGTCGGTTGGAATAAATCCATGTTGCTGGAAGATGAAGTTGAGCTTACTTTTAATTTTACTAACACTAGACTTTTCTATTATATGGATATACACACTAACAACATGTTCACCAAAGATGTTCAGGTAATTTACTTTCTTTTTACGGGAACCAATAAGTTTGAGATTGATTGATTGACTTTAACTTTGAAAGTAATCTTCCATAACTTTTTTGTTTTCTCCATCGATCGCTGTTATTGCTTAAAAGAAAATAAATTTAAACCTATCGAATAGACAATACATTAACGAATGATATTATAGTTCATGTATATATATGATACACATATTTTTTATTTTTTATATACAAATATTACGTAACACCGTTGGTTGTTTTCAATCTAGCTTTTCAAGGAGTCTGAAGTGTACTTCTCTCTGGAAGGAGAGAGATGGCAAGAAGACTACATATCACATGAACCAAAACAGGACCGGGTATCGGAGCACGCCCGGGTCGTGCACATAGACCTTCAGAACCGAACAGCCAAGCACCTCATGATGAAATTGAAGTTCCAACACGAATGGATCCTGATTAGCGAAATAACCTTCAAATCAGGTACGAATATTTGCTTACAACCAAAATTTCATTTGAAGTAACGGGTTTGTTTGACTAAACTGATTGGACCGATTTCCATTACAGATTCAATTCAATATGTATAATAAATATTTTATTTATTCAAACGGTGACCGAGAGAAATTATTGGGAAATCCGCTGACTGGTCTCCATTCAAACTCCATTTCGTGCGAGCCTAATCAGCGTCGTATATTCTAAGTAAATACCTTTTAAATTCGCAGATGAGAATCTGGGGCAGTTTATCGAATCAAATGTTTTATACAAACAAATTATCCGAGCAAATTATTTAGAGACGAAAAAGTGAGCAGGAAAGATTCATAAGCACGATTGGGTGATTTTTCGCGTGAACAAAAAGGGGGTTCTCTGGAGGGCACACGAAGCCCAAGCACGCTAATAGATCCATTACTCCTCATCGGGATTCCCTTATCTGTACAGAGCACTCGCAAGCCCTACAGCTATTTCACAAATTTTATCTTTCTCTAATTAATCCACAGCTCTTTTGAAGAAATCGCCTCTTAAGTGATAAATCGCCGTCCGCTTAATGAATAACTTGTAATTAAAGAAAATCTTTGATCTGGATTATATCGTTCTGCCAATTAAATTCGGGACGAGACCGCGACGCGTTGCGCACAGCCGCTTAGATATCATCCAAGTAACCTTAATTAATTTTTGTTATATCGATTGGTAATTTTTTGGAGTTTAGCACCACAAAATGAACTCCATTACTAAGCCTTCACTGTCTGTCTGTCTGTTCTCATGAACTGTATTAAGAAAACAGTTTTTTGTTATTTATTTCGTCATAACAACGCAATCAAAAATAAAATGAAGAATTTAAGGGGGCATACAAAAAATGGCGCTCTTATTCAGCAATCGCTGTAATTCAAGCACGGAGAGAATTCAAGTGTTACATTTTGCACAACGGGTAGGAAGCCTTTGAATGCTAATCTAACACGTGCTTGGCTGTTGTTTTTTAACTTTTCACATAGCTTTAGTAGAGGATCCACGTACACAGTGTTGTTACATGGAACACATTCAAAGAAAATTATGTTTTAAATTACATAACGAATTGAAATACCTACGAGAGTTCGTTGGCGCAGTTAGCTTCATAGCGGGTTCATTCTGCGATCGTGGAAGTTAAGCAACTTCTGAAATATCTGGTCATAGGATTGGATGTAATAAACTATAACGTCAAGTCTCTTCGTGCTTTGGAATCAACATTGTTTCCGGCTGCATCTGCAGTCATTGTCACCTACCAATACTCAATGGCCCCATTAGGGATCATGACCCATCATTCTCTCTATTCCAACAACGATTATTCCACGATAAATTGCCTACTTTCAATTTTTTTTTAAAATATCAATAAGACTATAATAAAGTTCAATAATTAATGCATTTTAAGCTTTATTAAGAACTTCACGGTGTACAGTAAGGATTGAGCGCAAATCGTTAATGGTTATAGTATCCTCTAAAGGTGACAAATCAACTTCTATAGTTGTACCAACTCTAGCTATTACCACCTGTTTCAAAATACATTAGTGTCATCAACAATAGGACCCTCTCCAAACCGAGACACAAAAGTTCGTATAGAAAGGTCACAACGTTTACGGAATTGATTCAGATACATGAAAGATGGCGACATTAAATCCGGTCTGCTAGCTTTTCGCGTGATAGAAGAGTACAAAGTTTTTACAATAAATTAAAATTGTAATGTCAACGCCCAAGTACGTTTTTACAAGCGTTTAATTAATTTTCAATGTTTGTGTTTATGTTCGGGTCAAATCTTGCAAACTGAATATTAAGGGAGTTATTCCGATGACGTGGAGAAAAAGTGCATTTGTGTGATCATTGACTAGAACATTTTCTAGAGAATTGTATTATTAAGTTCATATTACTGCAATTCGAGCAAAAGCTCAGTTTCCTAAAACATTTCCTGTAAGAGCCTGTATTAAAAATTAACCTGTATTATTTCCTAGAGAGACGACCTCCTTCATCCTTCGATCCCTCCTTACCCGCGCCTGTGACTTGTCACGATAAAATGTTACGCCATACCATTTGTTGGCGGGTAAGGCTTTTCCGTCAGAGCCAGCAACGCATGAGTGGTGGTGGTACCCTTGGTGCTGTGAAGGTCCATCCATGGGCGGCAGTGACCACTTACCATCAGGTGGACTGCCAGCTTGTTTGCCTGCAAACACATAAAAAGGTGGTTTTTAAAATCAGGTTGTAGGGCGTTATGTTCGAAGTGTGATAGTGGTCCGTGCCCGCCGTCCGGGCAAGAAGGTTTTTGATATGGAATCCCCGTGCTCCCCCCCGGTGGCGGGTGCCGGTCGTGCATACGCAGTTAGTCCGCCACTGAGGTCTGACGTAAGCTCCCTGGAAGGGACCGCACGTTTGACGGACCGTGCACGCACTTTGGATGCCGGCATTTCGATCGCGCATAGTTTATTTTTGTACGAGGACAATTATTGTAAGGAATTGGATAAAGCCGTCCGCGATGTGTTTGTCTGATTTAACTGAGAAGAAACTCCATTCCGACTTAAACAAGCCGTTAAGAGTACATCGGGGGTGAAACGCTTTTCTCGCGCAACACTTCACTTGGTATCGAGCAAAATATTGCGCGAGGCAACCTAATGGGGAAATGCTAAAAACAAGGTTTTTACACTCCATACGCGGTGTGTCAAATCCACGCCTTATAGAGGTTGCAATTTGGCATACCGGCTCAGACGAAAAGAGGACTGCAAGTAAAAAAAATATTCTAATAGAAAGTGCACCGCTGGGCGACGCCGCGAATGCCGTGACGCATTGCCGATGCTAACTCTTTAAAAGCACAACAGCACTGACTGTTCGCAGAGCTCTGTTAAGCGCTCTTCCGAGTTGTTGGCCTGCCTTAGTTTGGCGGCGTTTGAGTACGGAACGCGGCGGTACTGGGAGTGCAAATCTTAATCGCCTAGATTAGAGGCTTGGGAGTAAACAATTTTTAATCTTTACAAGCGTTATCAACCGATTGCCAAAGAGATTTTTCTCTAAGGAAGACAGAGGTTGGCTTAACGTCAGTGTCAAGTGTCGTAGAGGCAGCGGGAGGCGCATGGTTCGTGGGGGGGAGGAGGGGCGCAGGGCGAATGTGTCTGCGGGGCAGGAGGTGTCGCGGGGTACACCGGGCGCGAAGTTGGGGCGACGGCCACAGGGGGCGGTGGGGAATAGGGGCGAGATCTGCGGAACATGGGTTGGGTTTCCATGGAAGAAGAGGTAGGAGTGTACCATTTATTGCGGCGAATGGAGGGTAAGAGTTTCATCCACCGCAGACACCAGGGTATATGCTTCGGAGGGGGAACCGGAGTACTGGGAGGGAGAGGAACGCTGAAAGGCGGACCTCTTCCCGGAGGTGATAAACGAGTGACTCGAGACTGTCACGAAAGGCCATAGCGGTCGGTCTAAAGGGATTGACCCAAAGGGCGGGGTCTGGGAGGGGGGAATACGCGGGAATCGAGCGAGGTTGAGTTGTAAAAAAAAAATGGGTGCGTGTACTTATGTAGGCGCGTGAGAAGTTATCCTTCTTTGGCATCGTTTAAAATTAGTTTTTAATTGCATGCAAATAATTAATTACAATAAATTAATAAAAAGTCTGGAAAAGGACACAGTCAATAAAGTTCAGTTTTAATTTGAAAAAATAAATAAATAATCAAAATATTCAATTAAAATCGCTACTGAATATAATTTATTAGAACATATGTGATTTGCACTTGTATGAAACTCAAACACGTATTCCGAATATACAAACTAGAAACATGTGGATAACTATTATAAATATGAATACCTATAACTGTTACTTTATTACAAAAAATAAAGATGTGGGTTTTGGTTCTACTACACCAATGGTCAAGAGATGGCGCTGTAGTCTCCTGAATCGCGCTTTGGTTCCGTTGTACCAGATTAATAAATACTTTTGATAGGCCTTCACAATGCAGTCGTTAGCACCCACTAAATAGAGATTCTATTTCTATTTTGTTGGTAGATTTTCTTAATGTGCGGTAAACACAAAAGTAACGCATGAAGTTGAAGACCAACTTCATGCTGTTAAAATTTTGTGTTACAGTTATGCGCGCGCATCTTATAATTTCACTCTCATCATTTTTTCATAACGCGCCTAAAGAAGTATAACTTCAATAAGTTATATTGCGAAATATACTTATGATGAGACTAATAATGCTAATTATGAAAGCGCCGGTTTTTTTTTCTATCACAGAGTTTTAAGAAGAAAGAGTTGATTTCTAATTTATAAAACTGGTCTCAATAAATCCTCGGTTTCGTCGTAATTAAGCTTATTCAACCAAGAGGTGAGTATTCTTTTTCATTGGATCAGTGACATCAGATATATATTCAGTTCACTATTTACCCTATTGTATATCCTATTGGTTTTGGAATTGTTTTTTGGTAAATATGGTTCTAGTTACTAAAGAAGGGACAATAAAATATGGCTTACGTTTTTTAATTTTATCTGAATCTGGTGTAATACCTTTCTGCCTTTTTAAAATACAGTTTAATATGTCTTACAGTGAGGATCTCCATTTCTGCAATAAGTTTTGTTGGGCTAAATTTTTTTATAACATTAATTTAAAAAAAAAGCGGGATTTGAGTGCGAAAATAATACGGAAGCACTTATGTGGCTCGGTGCGAGTGACAAACTGTACGAACGTACGTACAGTTTGGCGATCAGACACTTAACTGGTAGCACAGTTTTTGGACACCCTTTTTATTTCTCCTTTTCAGTAGCCGGCGCCGCTTTTTAATATTACGTTATCAATTACCGCTCTCTAGGAAATCTTAGGAAACCGCGCCATTTTTTTACAAAGACAACGTTCTAGTGACTGCGTTGACCGCTGTATTACGGCCGCTATATTATAGACCGCTATCCTAGGGAGACCGAGCGTGATCTGACGGTCGAAACGCCAAGTATGATATGTTAACAGCCTTAACCTGTGACCTTG